TTGCCACTGCGTGCCCGGCGACCGCAAATGTCATGGCGACGTGCCGAGGTTTATGCCATCTTCGAACAGTCGGCGTCTCCGTTTGACTTGGCCAGCCTTTTGCTGCGTTGCATCGCCTCCTGTGCTTCTTACAACAGCTCTTCTGCCCCCGGCAGTCTGACAGGCTCCTATTTCGCCTCAGGATCGGGTTCGAGCTTGTCTGCGGCCGGTTGGCCTGACGACGAGTCCAGGGCCGAGGATTCGACCCAGGGACTCCAGGCGGCCTGGGCGATGAATGGACGGCGTCATGGACACGGGCTGTTGCCCAGGGCCGCGTCCGACCTCCTCTTCGCAGCAACTCGTCTACAGTACGCTCTGCCGGGCTCCAAGTCGAGTGCCGCCGCGAACCACGGCCTCGAGGCCGAGTCCAGCAAAGCCGAACTCGTTGAGGATTGGATGCACATCCTCTGTCACGCCAGACAACTGTTCACCTATCGAGTGGTGATTCAGCTGTTGCTGCCGGATGGCGAGCGTCGGCTTTTGATTCAGTTGCTACGCTTGTTCCGTCGGATCTCCGCCGGGGAGCCGCAGACTCGAATGCATGCAGAAAACTTGGCTCGATGCGCCGCTTTGTCGGTGTTTGGCAGTCCCGAGCCAGAAGAGATGCTGAAGACGCAATACGATCCCACGCGTCTACAAGACTCTGGTGACGGGGACTCGAAGCCGGGTCCTCTCGCCTGGCGAATCGACACTTTGGTCAACCTGATCGGTCTAGTCGATCAACTCGACGCTCTGCCCGGTCTGGTCTACGCCGAAGTGAGATGTCGCCTCCGAGCCCGACTTGGTCACTCTCCGATCGCAAAATTGCCACCAACCCCTTCGGTTGCCCAGGCGACCGGAAGTTTCGTGACCGGTGGCAGGACTGCATCGACGGCCGGCTGGTTGCTGGGATCCAGCAACAGTCCAGGCAACAATAAGCGTTCTTCTGCCTTTGAACCGACCGCCTCTTCGTCAGCTTCGTCTACCGAGTCTACCGTCTCGTGTGCTTCACTCCTCTCGGTCGGCCTCAACTCGACATCTTCCAGTGGTTCCGATCAGCTTCTTAAGGCTCAGAGAGACATGCTTGCCG